GGCCTATTTGCTCCGTACTCTCGCTGTGTCATTATCTTGCACATGTCATTTTATTGTATCTGACGGATGTCCCTTTGCACCTTTTGGGCCACTCACATATAATGTATTTTTGCACCCATTATTTCAAAAGAAATGTGTCATTATGTTATGCAGCATAGATTATTTAAATTTTTTTTTATCATAATGTTGTATGCCGTAGATTATGTTTAAAACATTTGTTTATAATGTTATATGGCATATTATTATGTTATGTGCACAATATTTATCAATGATACTGTTGATTTTGCTTTTGCTAATATCTTATATAATAATACATAATATATAAGATTATATTGTACATATATTTTTTTCTAATTCATATAACATTTTATTATACTGACCATAATGTCATTTCTATCATAATCAACACGGCGTGACTTGTGTGTTTATCGTCTTGCCACATGGTGATGGTGCCTTGAGGGGTAACACTAACCCTTTGTTCTCCTCCCCCCTCCTCCCTCCTCCCTCCTCCCTCCTTCCTCCTCCCTCTTTCACTCTTTAGACTACCTCCCTCTTCTTTCTCTCTCTATCACCCCCTCCTGCTCTTGTTTTTTCTGTCCATAAGGGCCTGCCTGTCTGTCTGTCTGACAGTCTGTCTGTCTGTCTGTCTGTCTGTCTGTCTGTCTGTCTGTCTGCCTGCCTGCCTGCCTGCCTGCCTGCCTGTCTGTCTGTCTGTCTGTCTGTCTGTCTGTCTGTCTGTCTGTCTGTCTGTCTGTCTGTCTGTCTGTCTGTCTGTCTCTCTCTCTCTCTCTCTCTCTCTCTCTCTCTCTCTCTCTCTCCCTCCCTCCCACTCAAAATGACATTATTTGCTTTTCTATATTTTCCTAATGCTGTAAGATCCAAGTTAATCAACGTTTTGGAACTCATGCTTCATGGTACCAATCTGTTGAGGAGTAATTACAACCATTTCAGTATCTCATACCCTGCAAACAGAATTTTTATTTCATTAGCAAGCTGGCTTTCCAACTGTTCTAAACCCAGAAACAACATTTTTTTCAGGAAGGAGAAAAATCTGTTTGATTGTTTTAGAAACTGTGCCTACATTATGTATCTTTTCTTGCCTGCCTTTTCCCCTAACTGTTAGAATTTGAGTTTCATCAAAATATTTTTAGAGCAAGTGCTACTGATACCACACACTAGGAAACTCCAATTAAAAAAAAAAAACAATAAATTTTTTTTTATAAATTTGGGGTTTAGTAAATTTGCACAGGTGGCTAACGATTTACTGTCCTCATCTGTTTGTCTGCAAGTGGCTGAGGGGGCGTCAGTACTTCCTGTGTGTCGCTGATTTATCTGTGTGACTTTGATTCTTGCGTCACTTTTAGCACAGTTAGGTACGGTCATTAAAGAGGCAGGACTTCCCAATGTAATAGTACTACCCATGCCCAATGACAATCGAGCCAGGCTGGTGGAGAGATTTAGAGTTTGAGAATATACATGTTTATTTGAGTATAGTTATGTCCTATATCACCTCAAGTATATGTTTATTTGAGTATAATTATGTCCTCTATCACCTCAACTATATGTTTTACAGCCGCATCAACACAATTTGGTTACGTTAGTGGAGAGCCTTAAAAACCCTCCCCCGCACAACTCAAGTGAACTGGCGTCTGTGGTGTAGTGGTTAGTCACTTCACCCTTGTGGTGCTCCCGAGACTTGGGTTTAATTTTATAGTGGGGAGGATTTTAACACACTACACCCTAACTCGCATGGAATCGCCCGCTCCGACCAGGAGGCGCCTTTCGAAACGAAGTCTCGCATGAATCAAGTATCTCGGTCTTTCTGCTGGGATGCTGCATCCT